CTCACTGACAGTGCTAACTCTGAGCAACTTCTGTGGTCATAAAATATGCCGTAGTGTGTGCTTTCGAATGAGCGGTCATATTCTTTCGAGTGGTGTTTCGCGCCCCGGTGGGCGGGCTGAGATATGAACAGTCAGCGGTGACCCATTTGACTCGTTATTTTAGTTGTGAGGTTTATTAGGGGGCATATAGGAAAACGCCTTTGAGTTTCCTCACCAACACTGTACAAGGGGCCACGCGGTAGGTGCGTCGGATAATATCTGCGCCGAGTGGTCGAGCAAGTCAAGCTGCAATGACTCCTTAATGTGACTTCTCTGACACTTCCACTAAATTTGATCCGAGCTGGCGTTCTTAAGTGTGGGTTCTCGCCGCGTCAGCCAACCCCCTTTTTCGTTTCAGGTCTTTTTGACTTGATGGTGACGCCGGGCCCAGGCATTCGTGAGGTAGATGCAGCGTGAGCCCGTCATTGGTGCGAACTAATTCACGCGCAAGTTACTGCTCTTGTGGGACATGGTTAACCTCGTGGGAATCGGCGGCCGAACATTTAGCTTCCTACAGTTACTTACTCGTTGACACAAAGAGCTGTCAGGGGTCTATCATTTGACTACAAGACGGGTGTTGAAATTGCGTATTTTGTTTCGTAAACCCTCTAATTTGTTCTACAAACTACATTGGATTTCTGGGCTGGTTTTCTTTTAGGTAGCTAGTGTTTTGCACTACACTGGGAGGCCGAGTTTACGATTCCTTCCGATTGTTTCATTTTAGGTAAGTATGAATCTACCACGAGTTGCATCAAGGACCTTGGGTCGCCTATGGCTCCCGGCTACGACGTACCGCTTTTTTAGTTCCCGTCGACAATGGCAAAAAGATGTGACCGACAGACTGGCCAGTAGCTCAACAGACGAGGCAACTCTAGTTGGTGGAACTGGGGGCGGCCTCGGAGCAGCCGGACCGCAGCCCTATCTACAGCCAAAACCCTGCAACATCCGTTACAACCCACGCATTTACAATGGCGGTGTTCTGCCACGACTAACTTTTGACGACGAACCAGTTAAGCTGCCCGAATATCAGCCAGGTGACCGATGGGTACCACATCGCGCCCATTTTGGACAGAACGACTACATTGGTGAGTCATAATATATAAAATACTATATTATGATAAATAAATATATACTAATTCGAAGTGGGCTGCAAACCCTGTCTGAAGGCGGTCTAGGCCGATTATGTGATGCCAAAATTTATTTGAACGACAAGTAGCTGTTATGCCCGAGAACGGTCATTAGTAGAGGCGGAAAAGACTGCTGTTGGTTTTTTTGACTTCATTATCAAGGCTATCACGCGTGGGCCTAGTCCGCTCCACGGATGTCACGTGCTCATCTATTTTAACGTACCCTCACCTTTCGGAATTTTATTGTCTACCAGCAGAGTTGCTGTTCCTAATATCATAAAATCGTAGGCCCATATGCAGGACATGCTCCGAGTAAGCCCCTCACATGAGTGAGCAATGGATATACATATTTTAATGGCGATTACTCACCTGCCACGCTGCAAGCAGCATTTATGTCTGGCGTCGGATGCTGCTGTAGATTCCGCTCTCTTCGGTTACTCTCACTATTACTTGACGGTTTATCAATCAAGG